AACCTCAAAGCCAAAAATATTAATGTGTGCTCTTTACCATAAAAAATATTATATGTTAAGAATTAAAAACATAGTATCTATACCATGATGCAGTTTTTAGAAAATCATGTGCATACACGCACGCACACACACACACACACAAAAGATTACAAAGATAATTGGGTAAGTCTCATTTAGTCCTTAATACTCATGACAGGGCAGTCATAGTCCCTCATTTCAGGTCTCCTCTGCAAAAGAAGGTGGACTTCTCTCACCATATTAATCACAATCGACTTTAACACTTTACATGTCTACCTTCCACACTAGATTGAATCATGTCTTAGCCTGGAGTCTAGCAGAGTCCAGCATAGCAGAACTTTCGTAAATGTGAGTGAATGAATGGAAGTAATGTGGGAACAACTGTGGAAGTTGGTGGATCTGAGATTGTCTCAGCTACACATAGGGAACCAAGAAAAGTTAAGCTGCAGGTGTCAATCCAAGTAGAAATATTCCATACATATTCTGAATAATAGGACCAGAACACAAGCCTAAGATCAGGCACACAATTTAAGAAATCTTCAAACTAGAATGAACAGCTAAGGTTAAAGAAGACTAAAAGTGCCAAGACAGTGAATACAGGGGAAAAGGAAGAATTAAGTTAAACTTAGCGGTGTTTGATCTATTATAAATATAATCTATTAATTAAGCTATTTCTCATAACACCCAGGAAAAGTGCAGATATGTCAAGAAAATAAAAATTTTAGTTTGAAAAAGAAAACAATGTTTCAAAGAGAAACACAGTGAGCAGGTAGACCTGACTCTGATACTGCAGCGGGGAGATGGCCTGAACAACTCTGACAACAACAATTAACCAGGGCAAGGATGAAGACAAAACATGAAAGTATACTGTCATGAGTTCAGCATTAACATGCTAAAATAGAAAATCAGCACAATCAAGCCTTCTGAACAGATACTACCGACACCCTGTTAGGTTACTTATTCATCCATCAACAAACATTTCTTAAAAGGCCCTCAAAGATCCATGCCCTGAATTAGTAAATGGCAGTGCAATGGCAGCCAAACAGTTGGTTCAGTTTCACTAGGTAAACCAGCAATACAAGATTTTTAAAACAATTAAAATAATGGTTTCTCATTTTATTAAAAAAAAATATCGTGAACTATTTTAGAACAACTTACCAGCAACACTGAATAGAAACCTGGCTGTGTCTCCCATTGTTTCAACTGCTCCTCAGCTGGTTTTAACACAGCAGTATCCTGACTGGTGGCCTGTGTTAAGACCTGAAGAACAACAGTGCTGGCACTATTGAGATCCATGGAAACCTGGCAATGATAAATTAACATACTCGAATGTACATTATACATTAAAAAATTATTAACAGAAACAAATATATAACAAGCTTAAATGCTCTGAATTACTCCTATACTTCAGTAATTCACCCACTCCATGTTTTTGCTGGATCTCTATCTTTTCTATATGCCACCCTTACTTAAAATTCCCATAATTCAATTCAAGCCAGCTAAAATAAAAATAAAGTTAAAAATCTTTTTAATAAAGCGAATATCTAAGCATATATTTTATATGCTGAACATTGTACTAAAAGCTTTATTCACTTATGTACCACTAATAATAATTCTATGTGGTAGGTAGAAAACTAAAGGATCAGAGACTTTACCTTGCCAAAGTCACAATCTATTAAGTGACAGTGCTTGGACTTGAATATCAAAGCCACTAGTCTTAGCCAGTATCTAATATTGTCTTCCTTGAATGACAGAATCAACATTTGAAGCATCTCTGCAGTCCCAAAAGCCCAATAAAATATATACTATTTGCTTAATAAATATTTGCTGAATAAAGTGATCAATTTTAAACAATAAAGTACTTCACGGTGAATCATATGGCAACTAATTAACTGATTGCATTTTATTAACTTATTTCATTAAATTTCTGAATTCAGAATCCCGTGTACCAGCCACTGTTCTAGGTGCTCAGACTACAACAGAGAACAAAACAGTATTCCTGATTTCATGCAGCTTACATTCTAATGGAAAAAGACAGATCTGTTTAACTAAAAAAAAAAAAGAAAAGAAAAAGAAAAAGAAAAAGAGAAGTAGTGATAATGAAGAAAATAAGATAATGTGTTAAGGATGGACTGAAATTTAATGTGTTACTTTAGACTGGGTATTCTGGAAAGGCTTCTCTTAAGTAGCATTTACAAGAGACCCAGCCATGCAGAGCTCCAGGTAGAGAAAACAACTGAAAACAAGGCCTTAAGACCATTGACAAATGACACTTAATGAGAAAAGGAGAAAGTGAAACAGGATGAGGTTGGAGAAGTAGGCAGGAATATTTCATGTACAACCTTATAGGGGAAAATAAAGTGACTAGACTTTTATATATGTACAAAAAAAGCCACTGAAAGTTAGGAAGAAAATATAAATATATTGATATGAATATAATAATAGAGAAATGCTCTGCTAGAACTCATCCCCATCCCACCTTCACTCCCAAAAAGAAAGAAAAAAGCCATGTCCTTGTCTGGGGCTACCACTTGAAAAATAAAATTACTGACTACTGTCAACCCCCAGGACAATTTTCACCTAGAGCAACAACTATGCAGAACACTCATACACACGCACCTTCACACTTCACATTTCTCTGGACTTTCACAGCAAGGCAATCCTTCATTCTATGTACTCTTATTCTTATGCCCCGCACACTCTCACCACTTACCTGTTCTAATGGAAGCTGCTAGATAGAGTTCCTATCCCTACCATCCTCCAGCACCCTGCTCCATCCAGGTCCTCCCTAGAAGTATACGCCCTATCCCTTCCACACCTTGATTTTGGCCCTTGCTCCCAAGAAGCCCATCCAATGTGGGAGGGAAAGCCTAGTTCATATATTTTTGGAGAACTAATTTTGGTCCAAGCACTGTGATAGCTGTTAGGATAAATAAGAATGAGAGTCTCTTTTTCTATCCAAATTCTGAGGGATAATTAATTGAGAAGCAGAGAGAAATATTCTTATCCTTAAAACAAACACTATTATGAGTGGTTCACCTAATAAGTAAAAAGACTTTAGGTCTGAGAAACAAACCATCATTCATAACTTCTATTGGAAGTATTTCCAAGTACTAATTAACTTATAAGGGAAGCTTTAAGCAGCAATCAGTTCCTAAATTACAGATTAAATGCATCCTCAAAAATAACAATTCAAGAATGAGACTTATAATGGATTATTTAAAAAACATATGTTTTAAAGATCCCAAACAAATCTATAAAAGCAATCTGGCAGGTGGACTAATATTACTGTTTTATAGAGGAAGAACTTACAGCTATCAGGAGAGTTGTCCAAGGTCATGTAGCAAACGTGTATGGCAAAATGAGGCCTGATAACCAGGTTTCTGGAAATCCAGCTCTTGCTACTATAACAAAATGGCCTCACCACACCCTACTCCCACATGTCCACAAACCTTCCATGCTCTCCCACAATAGGTTCCTGGAGAAATTGTCAAAAAGATGCCTGAATCCATTAGAAATCTAAAAATATCACATTTTCTATGCATTAAATATCCATACAGTACTCAATTGTGAAATTCTCTTGAAAGGACAGTGACGGCAACAAAGAAAGAGGGGTAAGGGGAGATGTACCGAGACATTCAGATGTAACAGTGGAAATAAACTTCACTGGGGTTAAAAGACAGATTACTACTGACTACTAGTAACCAGCTGGAGAGTGGTACACCTGGAAAACTAACCTTCAGTACTTTTTTTTGAAGGGAGGATTAGCATGCATAAATTTAACAGGGTTTCTACTGTTATTTGGACCTAGTAGTGAAGCAGACACAGAGTCTCCAAAACAGCTAAAGAGGACTGAGAGTGATAAAGATGGAAGAGGAAGAAGAAGGGAAAGAAGGAGAAAACAAGAGAGGCAGACTGGAAGATAAGAGAGACAGATGCTAACTTGTGGGAATGGCTAAATGTATTTCTCAAAGAACTTGACAGGATCTTCACAGAGATCATCACCAGATAGACCTGAAGACCAAGGAAGCTAGTCTCTCACAGTGGAAGCACTGTTAGGTCTCCTATGCAGAGGTTAACATGTATTGAGGAAAATCCTCTGTACATGTTAGAAGAATGTATGTTCTACCTTTCTGTGTTTCTATCTATAAGACCCTTAAGACAAACAAGCAAACAGAAGATTAAATTTGTCTTTTTTCTCACTAATAATGTATACATTGAGGTTGCTTTGATTTTCATTAATTTATATAGTTTTAAAATCAAGAGGAAACACTACTTTATTAGCTCTCAACTACAGAAGAGAATTAATTACTCAAAATTTAAATGCATATTCTTTCTTCTCTAAGAACAATAATAGAAAAGGAGAAAGTGAAAATTAAGAGGGCAGTCATTTTGCCCTTCTCATTATAGTACTTCACAATCCAGTCAGTTCGATTTATTCATTTGTGGACTTATACTATTCTTTGATTCTATGAAAGTCTAAACAATTTAGTAATGTGTGACCAAGAGCCTAAAAATACTCATATCCCGTTACTGGATTTTCTAGGCTTGTTTCTATAAGATACTTTTTGAATTCTGAAAAAATCCAAAGTTATACAGATGTGCCTGAAGTTAGAAACTTACTAATTTTAATTACAAGAAACAGCAGACAAGGGAAAACTCAGCATCTCTGCTTGCCACCAACAGACAGACTTCTCAGGCCTGCAATGACTTTAATCTCAGCTATGATGATTTTCTTTAGACTACTATATTATCTGAGTTTGTCCTTAAAGAGATTCCTACCCCACTATTAAGTTAAAGCAGTAAGTAAACTGACTTAGAAAAAGAAGGTGCAAGATTACAATAAAAATTGAAGAAAAAAGAATCTCAAAATCAAAAAGGTACCCTTGGTGAAATAATTTATTCAGGCATGGATCAATAAGGGATGCTAAAATCATTAAGTGAAAGAGTAGCTTTTGGGGAACAGTGTGTCCAAGTATCACCCCACAGACTATTTGCTTAATGTAATAAACAAACCAACCTTTAAAAAGGAGGGATCTGTCAGTCACCAGCTCAACCAAAAAGGCAAACTTAGTATCATGAACAGCTGCACAACTTGACCTTCAGTGCTTCCCTATGTGATGCAATAAGAAGTACACAATCTCATCTTTGAAATAACAAATAATCAGCTTTAATCTAATCAAGACTCTAGACCCAACTTCCAGTTTAAAAGAAATAGAAAGTCTCTTCTTTTCCAGAATACTTCTGGAATAGTGGTGTGAAGAGCTACACAAATCCTCTTCTCAATAAACAACCATAATTGGTAAAAATTATTAAAAACCACCTTTTAGTCTCTGGAAAGTGTAGTTAAGAACATGCAGCAAATAGAGAAACCTTCATGCATAAACTATTACTAAATCTTGATAAAAACAGCAAGAATTTGTGGCATTGGAGCCAGGAACTCACTCCTGCCCCATGGTGTGATATAGCCAAGAACATAGGGATCCCTCTCACCACAGTTCTTCCAAAGGGGCGAGCAACCAGCATTTCTCATCCACCCCATCTATGTGTTGCAGCTCTATTCCAGGCAAGCACAGCTAAGTGATTCCACCCAGACATCACTCCTGGCACAGATACTCTAGCCCAAGCACATCAGGCCCCAAGAGTAGTGGGCCTTAATCATGCCTACCCCAGCCAGCTCAAAGGGCAGAGGTTCCACACCAGAAATAATAACAGTTGGAGATTTCAATACTCTTCTTTCAATAATGGATTGAACAACTAGGAAGAAGACCAACAAAGAAGTCTTGAACAACATTATATACAAACCAGACCTAACAGACATTTACATAACATCCCACTCCACGACAGCAGAATGTACATTCTTCTTGAGTGTACGTGGAGTGTATGTGGAGCATTCTTCAAGACAGACCATACGCTAAGCCACAAAACAAGCATCTATGAATTTGAAAGGATTGAAATTGTTCTCTGATCACAATCAAAAATAGAAATGTGGGAATTTCACTCACATTTTCAAATTTCAACTTACTACAAAGCTACAGTAATCAAGACAATGTTGGTGACTGGCATATGGATAGCTGTATATGTCAATGAAACAAATCTGAAAGTCTAGAAACAAATCTTTACATATGAGGTAAATGATTTTCAACAAGGGTACCAAGACAATTCAGTGGAGAATTGTCTTTTCAACATATGATGTTGGAACAACTGGCTACTCACTTGAAAAAGAGTAGCTGGACCTCTTCTTTACACCATACACAAAAACTAACTCCAAATGGATCACAGAGCTAAACATTAAGAGGTTA